ACATTTAGGACCCTATAAGGTACGGGAAAGCGGACAAGGTCAAGGAATGGATTCATTATAAAGTATCATATAGTATAGTACACCAAAATATGATAGAAGATTACAATAATGTCATGCGGGAAAACATAATACAACCTGAGAGGATAATACATAATACATATATATATATATATATTACAGTATACTACGGTATGGTATAATATGGTAGTATAATGCGACATGGTAAAATAGAACAGACAAACACTGCAACATCACAGAATTTAAGATAGTATATTGCGATATAACACAACATCGTCTTGAGTCATCGGGAGTAGAGCTTATTCGCCGGTGGGTCTGCTATAGAAGCGAGAATGATTACCAATATCATGTTGATTAGAAGTCTGCTATAATGTGCCCCAACACCCTACTCAAACTATTAAGGCTCCTATCTTAGGGCTTGTGCGCTGCTTTCTGGCGGAACTTTTGAAGAGTCCGTTCTTTAAGGGTCTTGGAAAATTCAGGGCTATGGGCTGTGGGGCTACCGGTTTAGGGTGATTTTTTGTTGGGGGTGGGGATCCCTAAACCCTAAGCCGTAAACCGTGCAGCAAAAAGCTGCAGTGATGTCCTTCGGCCGTTTACCGACGCCGGTAACCTTCAGCTCCCAAGGTTGCCTGCCTGTCGTGGGCAGGACTTTGAATGTTGATGTCTTTTAGGGTTAAAAGGATTAGGGTTTAGGGTTTAGGGTTTAGGTTGGTCTGACCGGTAGACCGGGCCGCCCACGAGTAACTGAAATTTTGTACTTGTCACATAGGTAGTTCTCTAAGCCAGGGTCCCTATTTAGGTCCCCAGTGTAGCACGGCACCATTACAAAAAGGACCCCCAAAGGCATTCATCAATGTCACCACCATGCTTATCATACTCCAGCCTTGGCATGCGTTACCAGTGTCGGTGCACTGCTACTACTACTCCTCCTCCTGCTCCTCCTCCTCCTGCCCCTCCTCCTGCTGCTGCTGTTTTTTCTGCCTGAGGATCTTTCTTGCACTTTTAATGTGGTGATTCTGCATGCTAGTGCCGAAGGTGGTACCGGTACCCACTTAGAAAGTGCGAGCAGCTAAACCCTACACCCTGAACCTTCTGAGCCGTTGAAAACGAATAAAGGCTCAGGGGCGGAGATTGGGTTGGGCTCCGGCATTGCCCTAAACCCTAAACCCTATAAACCCTAAACCCCTAAACCCTAAACCCTAAACCATTGCTTACCAGCCACTGTAGCCATGTCGTTCTCCAAGATGGGGACCGAACGGTTTAAGGTCTAGGGGATTTAGGGGAACTCCTACACCCCCTATAACCCTAAGCCCTATTGGGTTTAGGGTTTAGGTTTAGGGAACCCCTAAACCATAAACCCTACGATTCGGGGAGCCCCTTACGCCCAAAAGAGTCTGTCTGTCGAGTCGCCGGAAGGTCCACTCCCCAAGCCGGCGTGTGAGTTCTACAGCGCGCGGGCGAAGCATCTCTGCCAAGAGGGGCGGGGGTTGGGGAAGGGTGGCTTAGGCTTTAGGGTGTTGGGTTTCGGGCACTTGGGTTGGGCGGCATTTTCTTGAGAGTGCTTGCCATTTCTGGAAAATTCTTCTCTGGAAAGAGGGGCGTGTAGGGTCTTGGATTGTGAGACAAGTACTACAGCAGCGGCGACCGCAGCAACAACAAGCACTGCCACCTCCCCACATCCGCCGCTGCCACCATGGTAGGACCGCTCTCCTGTGAGCTGTCAGCAGACGTGTTTTTTTCATGGGAAGACGGGGCCGGCGCGACGCTGTAAGCGCAATGCTTTCGAGCACTTGTGCCGCCAGTTCCCCTGGTCGGTGGTGATGGTAACCTATGCCGGTGGCACGGTGCTCAGTCCCACCGGCGGGCTCCTGCGCTGTCCCTCGGTAGTTATAAGTGGGGTTATAAGTAGGGTAACTATAGTTATAACCCATATTAGGGGACTTATAACCCCAATTAGAACTATACCCATGAACCTCCAAGTAGAGTTTGTCCTGCCGGCCGCGGGCCCCACAGTTCGCGGAAGTCTCCGATGTCATCTACGGCGCCCAGCTCTGACTCTGCAGCGTTCGAGACCTTGAGCCGAGAGAAACTCAAGGGGCTCGAGCCACAGGGCGCGTCGTGCTGAGAGAACTTTGAAGCAATGGTGGCCGGCAGCCGTTTCTTGTGTATCGAGATACTATGGGCTTGGGGTCCATGCTTTAAGGTGTTTATTTTCAAGTTGTGGTTTGGGCGTTCATGTTTTCGTGGGGTGGGTTTGAGGACATGGGGCTTGAGGGTGTTTTGATTTTAGGGTTGAGGGTTTAGGGTTTAACCCAAAACCCTACAAGCCCTAAAGACCCTAAACCTTGAATCTAGAACTCTAAATCTAAGGTTAAGCGGATGTTTGGGATGAGGGATTTTCCGGGTCTCCAAGGCATCGTCAACGGCGCGGAGAAGTGGCTGACTCTTCACCAGCACTCGGACATCGCGGAATGTTTGGGAGGATTAAAGGCGCGGCTTCGTGGGTTTAGGGTTTGCGGGTTTGTCGCTTTGGGTTTTAGGGGCTTGGGGTGTGAAGAGAGTGAAGAGAGTGGCAGCAATATCATCGCAGCACATAGCAACAAGAGCATGATGTGAATGTTACAGCAGTATTCGTTCCCTCACTTTGGTCAGAATCATTTACGTTCTTGCACCATTGGTAGTAAACCTAGGCCCCCCAATGCTTCAAATCCTCAATACTTTGTCTTGTTCTTGTTGCTTTTTATTTATGGGGAGTTCATTATTTGTCATGGTAGCAGCTGCATGCCTCTATGAACAAGTAACGTGGTATCCGACAAACCATGCTTCTCTCTCGCAATCCCGTCAGCGCAGGCTGCGCAACATCAACTACTGGCAGCTGTGCCACCCGGCCAAGGCCTGCAACCAAGAACGAGGGTTCCTTTTAAGGGCTTTGATGGGGAGTTACAAGGTCTTATTTAATTGGTCTCTATGACCCTAAACCCTAAACCCTAAACCCTGTGAAGGAACATTTGGGGGGGGGTCATGCTCGGGGGCTCCCAGTCTATTAAGTTAGCATGGATCCTTGCATGTTGGGTCTATACTGCCGACCCTAGTCTCCGAGATTTCTATTTCAAGAGGGGTGTAGGGCCTGTAGGGTTTAGAGTTTATGCGGCCTTGGCCTAAGCCCTAAACCCTGTCACACCCCATAAACCCTAAACCCTAAAGCCGTCAGAGCCCTTAACCAAAAGAAACGCCAGAGCCGGACCAGCCTCAGGATCAGCGCAATGTTTCGTCGTTAGTAACGGCAACAGTCCTGTACCAGTTCATGCAAAACTTGCATCGTAGCCTTATTACTCTTATCATTATCATTCATATTTTACTAATCCTAAAATTCCTGTTGTCACTAGCTACTACTATTACAGCCCCGACCAGAAAGACCTAAGATGGCCTGAAACGCGAGCCTTTAAAGCTTGACGCCTACAGCTACACCCCAAACCCTCAAGCTAAACGGTATAGCGTTTAGGGTATAGGGTTTCGGGTTTAGGCCGGCAGCTCAACTTCGAATCTTCTGAAGCCATGGTATCCCGGATTCATAAATCCTAAGCCCGATCGCCTACCCCTCTAAACCCAAAATCCCCTTTTTTGCATGGAATCCTTGTAGAAGCCCTGCAGTATCCCTGACAGAAAGCCTCACATTCAAACCAACAAAATCTCTTGAAAGGGCTCCCCTTAGTGATGGGACCATTAAGGGAAGGCTCCAAAAACCCTAAGGGTACCCGTAGAACCATAATAAGAACCCTTATGGGAACCCTAAGGCGCCCCAAGCGAATCGATAGAACCCTAAGCGAACCCCACGGGAACCTGTGCAGAACGCTAAGGGGACCCTTTGCGAACTTTGAGGGAGCCCTTGTAGAACCGTAAGGAACTTGTAGAAGCCTAACGGGAAGCGTAAACCCTAAACCCAAATAACTTCTCCGAGAAACCCTTCAACGGGCCCCTTTATACCCAAAGCCCTGAACCCTAAACTCCTTAAAAGGGGCCCCCTGTTTTACTTGAACCCTGAACCTTAAACCCTTTAAATCCCTAAGCCCTGAACCGTAAACCGCAAAAAAAAACCTTAAACAGGGCCCCCTTTTTTTTCGAGGCCGGAATCCGCTGCCTCTGGAGGCGTTAAGCTTCGATCAGCCTACGGCGTTGCTCTTCGGTTCCGAGGTTCTCAGATTTTTCCTCAGGGGGGGGGGTTCTGTGAAACGGGGGTCCAGGGTCTATAAAGGGCAAACCGATGCTATTTTGGTTCAAGGGTTATATAAGGTTGTGACGGCGTGCCCCTAACACTCCAAAAGCCAGTTTTCTGGGGTTCGTGGGTTTACGGCTTTACGGGTTTGTGGGGTGAGGGGTTCGGGGCGCAGTTCGAGGCGCTTCCCGGCATGGTCGAGGGATTTTCTCCCTTTTTGGTGTGGGTTGGGGTTTGTGTGTTTACCCAGAGGCTCCATGGTAGTTCCTTTTTTAGGATCCTATAAGGTAATCCCAAAAAGGAACTACTATGGAGCCTCTGGGTATACTCATGGAGTTCAGCGTTTTTTCTTGCCCCACCTCTTGTGTCAACGTTGAAAACTCGTAGCCCGAGGGCACTGAGGCAGCTAGACCCAAAGCCGTAATGAGCTGTAATTTAGCCCTACCCAAGGGCTCCTTAGTAGTTCCTTTTTGGGATTACCTTATAGGATTCTAGTTACAAACCACCCAAAAGGAACTACTTAGGAGCCTAGAATCCTACAGAAAACACCGGCTTCACTTGAGTGGTGCTGCCGGCAACTCTCAGACGTGGGGTTCGCCGCCGCAAGGCTGTGACGTAGGTTGAATAGTTATTATCCCTAGTACCCTAACCCCCCAGGTACCTACTATATAGGGTACTAGAGCCCCTAGGGCCCTATATAGTAGGCATTTGGGGGGTTAGGGGTACAGCCTTCTGTGCCATGGAGGACGTATGCAGGATTGGTTCCATGACTTCCAAGGAATCCAGTATTGGGTCCAGCGTTGTTCTTAGTGAGCGATCGCTGAAGGTCGAGACGCTGGGCTCTTGTTAAGGAGCTCAAGGTCAAGTTACCATAATAGGGATCTGTGGTGCAGTGGTGAGTAGGATGATTCTCTGATTATGGTGTTTGATTTTTTTAGCTGAATGAACCGAGGATGCCACCCCAGCTCCTTCGTGGTGTCTACTTGCATCAATGCCTCGGTGGATGGGGAAGGCATTGGGCTTCAGCCGACCCAGCCGAGCAGGCTTGCGACTTTCGTCTAAGCCGACCGACGCAGCGCATCGACAACTTCCTGAGCCACGATTGGAAGACATCTCGCTGGCTCAAGCTCGCTGCTCTCCTCGTTGTCTTCAACTCAAGGGCGGCAGCAGTAGCCACTCTGCTGGTCAGTGTAAGTGTCGGAATCCTACGAGCATCTAGTGTGCTCCCGGATGAGGCCTGGACAGTAGCTCTTGGCCACGTCACCTTCTTCTCCGTTTTTTTCGGCTGGCAGAGGCTTCGGTCCTTTTGCCGGCCCCGTACTGTGTTCTTGGACAAGCTTTGCATAGCCCAACACGATGCCGCTCTCAAGGAGCAAGGCATACTGGGATTAGCAGCTTTCTTGGACATTGCGGACGAGCTCACCGTGCTGTGGTCCCCCCGCACGCTTCAACGTCTTTGGTGTGTCTATGAGATCAGCACTTTTCTTCGCAAGCCGGAGAAGCGAAAGCAAGTCCATATAATTCCAGTTAAGCTGGCACTGATGCTATGTGTGAACAGCCTGAGTTGGTTCGTGATGGCTGGCGGCTATTCCGTGATCGCAAACACTTCAGGTCGAGAGGTCAGCTGGGCAAGGACTCTTCTGGGGAGTCTCTGCATGTGCTTCGCGGCTGTCCTCTTCCCCTGGACCTATTACGCCTTGGGATCGCACTTAGCAGTGCAGCACTGGGTAAGCGAGCAACTCACAAGCTTGTAGGGGTTCCACGGAAGCCTCCTTCCTTCATCCTGACCCAACTCCGAGCCGTTGCTGCAGGTCGGCATTGGCATGATGGAGGACTTGTCTACCCTGCCCCAGCAGCTTTCCAACTTCCGAATCCAGGAGCACTTTTCGTTTTCAGACCCTTATCGAGAGACCGCCGCCTTGCAGCAGCTACTACCCGGATGTCGAAAGGCGACAAACGACGACGGCAGCGCCTAAGACTACGGCTGTTGCTGTTGCTTCTGATTGCAACACTACCACCAAGACTGCGGTAGCTGCGGCCGCCGCAACCGCCACTACCAATTACCAATACAGCCACTCCAACCACTACAACCACCACTATACTACTACTACTACTACTACTACTACGACGGTCACCGCTGTGATGGCGGTAATAATTATTCTGGCAAGTTGTTGCACTCTTCGTCGTCGCCGCCATAGTCGTCAGGGTAGTATGGCCGCCAAGCCTAGCCCGAAGCCCTAAATTTCCCAATGCGAAACCCCAGACCCTTAACCCTAAGCCGTAAATGCAATCGGTTTTCTGAGCCTGGAGGATGCGGAAAGCATGTGTTGCTCTCGGCAGCATGTCCATCCAGAGACTCAGCAGGATGTGCCCTGTGATCGGGAATTGGTGTTGCCCGGCTTGTGACAAGAAGGGTGATTAACAGTGATAACTAGTACTGAGTATAAATATGCTCATAACAACACTGGTACGACCTAGTACGACATGGTACGATCTAGTAATACGACTATCTAGTTTAAAGTAATGCTAATAATCAGAACTTGCACTTGTTCTTCTCATCCGTGTCTCGCAGGGCTCATGGATTGGATGTTGGGGTTCAGGGCTGCAGCCCAGAACGTCCAAAATCCTTTACTTAAGGGTTTTATACCTTGAATCATCCTAGGGGTCCTACTATCCTATCTAAGGCATATTCCCTAAACCCTAAACCATAAACCCTATAAACCCTAATTTCCTTGGTAAATATGGGAAGGTCTGGGAGGGTCTTCAGGCTCGCTGGTTCGGAGGCTTCAACGCATTGGTTTGGGGTTTATGGGGTTGATAAGGTTGCGTGGCCAAGAAAACAGGTTTCATGATTTCCTGTATTCCGCTGCCTTCCGTTTTTGACCCTAAGACCTTAGAGAACCGTACAGGGAGCCTTCAAGAAATCGTACAGGCCTAAGCCGTATTAACTCGAAGCAAATTCGCTGCGACTGTAGCTCCTGTTTCTTCAGTCAACAAGATAAAAAAAACCACTAAACCCTATAAAGCTTAAACGAAGGAAACCGGCATGACCCGCGTATGGCGCTGCTAGGAAAACTCATTCTCCCCCACCCCACCCCCCAAAAACAGTTTAGGGTTTAAGGTTTTTTCTCCCCCTCTGCATGACCATTCACCCATCCCAGCCCCAGTTGGCAGCTGGTAGGTAAAAGGTCCGGGGGACATGCGAGTTTTTTCCGAGATTCGGATTGAGGTGTAGCCTAGGTTCGTTGATCGGGCCGTTTCCCGGCTTCTTCTTGGTATCACAAGGCGTGTCCACTACGAACTGTTCACCGCTAGCTTCTGCTGCAGGCCTTTTGCGGGGGGACTTGTTTCTGTCATTCCGGCATCCTAAACCCTAAACCCTAAACTATCTAGACCGTAAACCCTGAACCCTAAACTATCTAGACCCTAAACCCTGAACCCTAAACTATCTAGACCCTAGACCCTGAACCCTAAACTATCTAGACCTACACCCTGAACGGTATCTGAGGTTCGCAACTCTGCAGCAATGGTTTGGCCGGGCAGGCGATGCGCCTGGCAAGCATCTAACCGACTTCAACCGCCTCGTACGGAAGGAGCTGGCACCATCAGTCTTAAAGTCTGCTTCTCGACAAGGTTCAGAGTTTAGGGTTTAGGGGTTTTTGTGGGGTTCCGAGTTTAGGGTTTAGGGACTTTTAGGGGTTTAGTTGCGGGTTTAGGGTTTAGGGGATTAGGGTTTCGGGGAAGTAGCAGAAACAAGTAACTGCACAAAGCCTGTTTCTAGGCCCCCGCAGGAGTAACGTCTTTTTGCGTTTTTGGGCGGGAGGGGAGGGCAGGGGGGGAGGGGGGTTGAAGCTTTGGAGTAATAGGAAGAAGGGTTCCCTGAAGATAAAAACTGGTCGAACTACATCAAACTGAATAGTAGGAAAATGGCACCTGTTGATCTCAGTAAGAGACCATAAACCTTAACCCTTGAACTAAACCCTAAGCCCTAAACCCAAAGAGCATGACGAAGAGAGGGAGATACCATGGCAGAGCCAAGGTGGGCCGGGACCACCTTCCAGTCTCTTGGTCAGCCTTCGATGTCCTTCGGGGTTTAAGGGTTTAGGGTTTCGCGCGTATTCACGGAAATTGTTAGGGTTCCGGGGACGGTTTATGCGTCAATGCTTGTGTCAGTCTTGCCGTTGACGGCTTGCTTGCAGCGACGGTTGCCTTTCGCCCTGCTTCTGGCGGCCCGATTTCCTTTCTCCCAACCCGCGCCGTTTATGAGGCGGCGCACCACCCAGACCTACCTTTTTGAGGGTTTATAACCTATAAACTGCCTAAACTCTTTTTTAGCGTCACAACCCACAATTTCGGAAACAGGGCCAGGCAGCTCTGAGTTTCTGTCTTTGCAATCGTCAATGGGGGGACCGGGAGAACCCCGAGATCGGCCAACGGCCCAAATTACATGGCACATTTCAGAAGCAGAATAGCAGAAAATCAACCTTAAAGTTGCCGCTGAAGCTGCCGAAATCGGAGGAGGCATGCGACACCACGAAGATTTTCGAATTTGCCGTAAACCGGGTTTCCGGCCACAGAGCCGCTGAAACTGAAGGAAGCCCACGAATATACAGGTAAATGTATTTTTTTCAGTAGCCCTTCCAGAGGAGCCTTGGATTTTCTGGGATTCTGGCCGTCGGAGCCGTCGAAATGGGGGAACCCCAAGATCGGCCATGGAATTTAGTAACAGAAAATCAGCCTCTGCAGCCGAATTGAGGACGCCCGGACACAGGCCAACTGCCCCTATTGAGAACAAGTCCACGCTGGAGGTGCAACGTACGTGCTAGTTGTATTGTTCCGTGGTAGGCATACTGCCCGGGGAAGTTGTGAGTCGCAGCAGTAGCGAGGGGCGCTCTGGCCGCCGCTGCTTACAAGGCGGCGGCACTTAGGCCGGAGTTTAGGGGTTTAGGCTTTAGGGGTTTAGTGTTTTTATGGGTTTATAAGGGTTTACTGTTTACGGGTTTAGGGTTTGGGGGTTAAGGCATATACCCCTATGCGAGGAGATTCGTGGAACGGGAGTCCATAGCATGTATCATTGTTTGTTCTTTGGGTTTTCCTAACGCTGAAACCGGGGTTTCATAAACCGTATCTTTTGCTTTCCTTCCTCAGACTGACCAAGGTCTGGTACACGTTGTACATGGCGGTCAGCGGCAGCACTCCGTTTTTGTCGGACTGTATCTCTCTGTTGGCCAAGGGACCACCCGGCAACTTGTCCAGCGGTGGGACTGTTATTTGGGGCATACGCACTTTCATAAGTTTTGCGTACGTCCCTGTACTCGCAGTCTTGGCAACTAGATTGAATTTGTGCTTTTGCTGGCATGGATTCCGGATGGCACACCATTCCGCCTGTCGATCGAGATTCTGTGTGGCAGTTCTGCTGTCACAGCTTGGAATCATCATTGTTGCTACCTTTTGGGCACTCTTTTTCATCCCGTCGAGTCAAGTTGAAGCAAGCAGTTGGATCCCTATCGTGCCTTTTCTCTTGCTCTTGGCAGCGACCGCGACGCTTTTTCGTAATGGCTGCATGCCAGACGGAGAAACTTGGTGCATCGTAGGAACCTTTCTCTCATTGCTTTCTCTTGGGTGTTTTACCCGAAGCCTAACCCCAAACACTAAACCCTACACCCTCAAAATATCCTTGTTTCTGTGTTGTCTGAGCGGTGCCAAGGAAACCTCCTCGGAGTCGGCAGCGGCAACAAGTCGGAAGGAACGCCTGGAACCACTTCAATCAGGAGTTCCGAACCCTAGTAGCTGAACTAGCAAACTTTACACTTTTTGGGATACTATGACCCCTGATACAACTGAAAGTTTGATGCGCTTTTGGGGCTTGTGAACTCGGCCACTCAGGAACAACGGACAGAAACGTGGAGATGAAGAAGAGTCAACTTTTGAGGTTTAAAGGGCTCACGGCGGGCGCCCCGAGGCTCTAGCGGGCTCATTACACTGGTGCCAAAGCAGCAGCCCCCCAAACCCCTAAGTGGGGGCGACAATATTTACTATAGCGGCCTTAACAATTAGAATAGGGTTGTGGGTCTATTGTGCAATAATTATATCAAGGAACCCCCAAAACCCTATTCTAAGTATTACGCCCCTATATTTTATGATGTGAGCTTGCCGCCAGTGTGGTCATTCCCCGGTCTTTGTTCCAAGTCTGGCTGTTTTTGTTTGCGGAGTTTCGCTTGCACATTAGGGGTTATAGAGGTTTAGGGTTTAGGGTTGCAAAATGAGTCAGGCTCTGTCTACTTCGATAATCTGTTTTCACACAAGGAACTCCGTGACTGCAGACCCACGGGAGGATCTCAATGGTAATGAGATCCCCTAATTTGGCACCCTATAGGTTTATGGTTTAGGGGTTTATATTGTTAAACGGTACTTTACATGAACCCCATCAAGGAATCTCATCCTCGGATCCTCCAAGTGGTCTGGGGAACAGCCTGCACCTGATCTCTCGGAAAAAGTGCAGTGGCCACGGATTTGCGCAGCCAACCCAAGACCTCGTCTCCTCATGGTACAAGCCAAATGCTAGTAGCAGGCTGTAAACGGGCTTAAAAAACCTTAAGCCCTGAACCCTACCGCCTGAACACAAAAAGGTTTCCTTTATACCTAGTTAAGCTCCTTCGGCATGGAGGACTCCGCAAAACCCGCAGGAGGAAGCCTATAACTTTATCACCCGAGGGACTAGGATTCAGGGTTTAGGGTTCGGTCAGCTCAGAAACCCAAAGATCCCAATTCCTAAGAAAACTCTGAGATCCCAATTCCTAAGACTATACCTTCAACCAATGTTTAGGGTGAGTTTGGGGTTTCGATTTAGGGTCCAGGGCAGTTTGTTGGTGCACTCCATTCTGGTACGTACGCTGCGAACGCCTCCTTTAACAACCCCAAAGCCTTAAACCTGAACTAACCTCGCTTAACCCCGAAACCGAAGACAACCGAAACAGTAAGACTGACCCTATATCCGAAATCGAAATCACTGAGACTGATATCCTAAACCACAGACTTTCAACCCTCAAGCATAATTGGTGAGCCTGAAGGCATGGGGTGCCTCTGCAGCAGCGCTGGATCTGTGTGATGCAGCCTTCACGGTGCCATTGCCAGGACTAAGTGAGAGTCAGGGCCTTAACTGGGATGGAGGTTTGCGCCCCTATAAGCCTTAAACCCTATCAACCCTAAACCCTAAACGGGATCTAGGGCTTTAGCAGGTTGGGAGCTTGGCTTCGTCTTCCGAGTTGTGTGTTTGCCGTGTAAAGCCCAGAAGCCGTATGTGGAGTCTTGAACCCTACCTGGACCCCACAAGTATGTAGAATACTTGCCCTTTATAGGTATTGTGGGCCATTATTTTACCTACTTTTTGGGGTTTGGGTACACCCTGAACCCCTGTAGAATTGCTGCATTACCCATAATAAGGAATATACCATATTTCTCATAGTATAGGGTCCTTAAGGTAATGCAGGATTTAGATCATAAACAGTAGGCGTAGGGTTTCGGGCGGGTTTCCGGTCCTCCTCTGGCTGCCGGTATTACGGGAGGGTTTAGGGTTTAGGGTTTGGGGTTACGGGTCGAGGACAAGGTGGAGTGGAGCAATACAGGGGTCTTATCCACTTAGAGTCCCTACAAATTACACCACACCAGAATCAACCCAGGCAGGCCCAGTTTGAATTAGATTCAGTTTAGGGCAAATTAGGTTTTAGATACCTCCCCTAAACCCTAAACCCTAAACCGTCTGCTGGTGAGGCCTGAACGTGTCTGTGGCGGTGGCTGTCTGTGCGCACTTTGCGGCCTTTCGCCGGCGTCAGGCAATCGGCTCTACTCCCTCGGGGGGGGTTCCGGTTTAGGGTTCAGGGTTTAGGGTTTAGGGTTCTGGTTCTTTAGCCCCCAAGCCCGACCTTGGGTGGTGATGGTCTTGCCAGATGCCATCCCAATGCGATGGGGATGCGTTAACACTTAATCTTGCGGTTATTTGCCAGAGCAGTTCTCATTGATTTTTGGTAGCTACATGGGTGGGAATTCACTAGAATAGAAGCATGCCGCGCTGTCTACAATCGAAGAAGAAAACTTGCCCACGACATGCCTTCCAGCCAGAGCAAGCCAAACTACCCAAGAGCCACATGACATGAGTCACTCTCCCCAAAGCCGCAAACCACCACCACGGCACGAGCTGATAAGCCTGAAGCCCCAAACCCTGAAGCCCCACTTTTCACGCCTAACCCGTAGCCGTACATGCCCCAAAACCAACCCCGCAAGCCCAGAAGACCGATGCAAGAGCCTGGGGAAAGTTGATAAGACAACGCTGACAGCCCTTTTAAAAGCCGTGTGCATTTACTCATCAGATCAGAAGTATGCTTACAAGAACCCAATTGTGGTCGGACGACGTACAGCCGTAAGAGCTATAATACAGGGGCTTAACAATTACCAATACAATTTTGGAGGCTCCTTTTTGCAGTATAGTACAATCTACCCAGAACCCTACTCTAATTTTAAACGCTGCGCGTCGTCCGCCTCGGCCCGGCCGTATGTTGGGAGGAAGACATGATGCCAGGTCTGAGGCTTTTGCTTTCGCAGGATATCGGGGTGCAGCGTCTNNTGATAGGGTTTGTGCATAGACAAACTTTACTAAGTAACACAAACTATATATAGTGCGACAGCACCCGCAAGGGCGGGAAGGGGGGAGGGGGGGGGGTAGGGGAGGGGGGTCCATGCCAGGGGGTCCATTGGAATATGCGAAACCCCCCCCCCCCCATGGTAAGTTTGAGGGGTGGGGGTCAGTGGGGAGGGGATTAAGAGGGGGAATAGAGGGAATCCGAATAGGAACCTCTGACCGCTTCGGCCGGGGCCGAGGCGAATTACCAAGGCCCCGATATTAACCTCCTTACTAAGTCCTTTTGCTCCCTCAAGTCACTTCCTCTGAAACCCTGACTCAGCCCTCCCCAGGCGCTCCCTAGACCGCAAGCCGCAAAAATAAAGGCAACTTAGGGGTTTAGGGTTTAGGGTTTTAGGGTTTAAGGGTTTAAGGGTTTCGGGTTTAGGGTTTAGGGTTTAGGGTTTAGGGGTTTAGGGTTTATAGGGTTTAGGGTTTAAGGGTTTAGGGTTTAAGGTTTAGGGACCTTCCTTACCCGATGACGGGCCCCCAAACCCTAAACCTTGCACCCTCAGCCCTGCACCCTAAACCCTCTTATTACCCTAAGGGTCCACATACCCAACTAGCATAGGCTTTGGCACCAACTACCTATCTAGGGACTACTCTAAGGCCGAAGTAGAAACGTACTATTTTGGTACATGGGCCCGAAGGCATAGAATATACCGCCAAAGCCCGATTCTACTTGTTCGGGTCCCATATCCATCGACCTTCTGGAAGTTTCATGCGGCCATCTTGAAGAGATTTTAAAAAAAGGGATCTAGGGTTTAGAGTTTACGGTAAAAAGGGATCTAGGGCCCACATCCCTACACCCCAAACCCAACACTCCAACCCAACACTCCCTCAACCCAAGACCACTGAACTCCCAAACCATCATAACCAACCTCGTAAAAACCCTTATAAGTCCCGTTGGAGCATCACAGAACCTCTGTAGAACCCTTAAAATGCCCTTAACCTTTGGAATCCGTTTAGAACCCACCCTTACACGTCCATCAACATCCTCACAGCCCTTTTCCCTAAACCCTTCTCCTATCTTATACTCCTATACAGTATCCTTTAAGAAACGTTCCCTTTTTTGAACTTTCTGTACCCTTACATAATCCTTAAAGAAGCCCCGTTTTTGAACTTCATTGCCAACTCCCGGAGACTCAACCCAAAACCCCTTTCAACCCTAATCCCTAAACTCCTATAGAACCCCTAGGAACCCTATAGAGACCCTATGGATCCTTTAAAGGAACAAGCCCTCTAAGCTCCGAAGCCCAACTCCTTCAAGGAGCCTTTGTAGCTCCTAAACCCTTTAGAGGAGCCCTATAATACAAGTTTAAAGGAACCCCTTGAAGAAAAGAAGAAAACGCCCAAAACCCTTAAAATAGCTCCCTTTAAATCATTAAAGGAACCCCTTAAAGAAAGGAACAAAAACGCCCAAAACCCAAGAGGCGCTGGGCCTGGCTGCGCACGAGAGCGACCTGGAGGCCAAGGAGGTGCAAAGGGATTTTCGGCGTTTTTTGGGCGCGGTTTTGGGGCTTTTAGGGTTTAGGGTTTAGGGTTTAGGTTCAGGGCTCTTCAGGGGTGGTTTGGGTTTTTTTTTGGGGGTGACAAGTAGGATGATCAGGATGATGATGAAGGTAATGAGAACGCGGCTGAAGGTAGGGTTTAGTAGGGACGCTAGGGCTGACAGCTTCCAGCTCGGCTTGCGCATAGCCACACCATTGGTTATTCCTACGCTCACAAGAGTTCAGCGGTCGCCAAACCTCAGAAAGCTGCCACAGGAGAGCCCGTTGGACAAAAGACGCCTTTGAGCCCTAAATTCGAATCTTAGATCCTAGCACCCAAAACCTAGCACCCTAAGCCCTAAACCCTGAGACCCGTTTTTAGAGGAACCCTTAAAAGTCTTAAAGGAACCCCAAACCGAGCCACCGACCCCCACCGACACTGATCTCCCTTCCTACCTACCTCCCTTTCTCCTACTTACGTACCTATACCTACCTACCTCTACCTACCTACCTACCTACCTACCTACCTACCTACCTACCTGCCTTCCTACCTGTACCTACCTTTTTTGTTCACCTCCCACCTACCCTCTGGGCCCTGAAGCCTCCGAACCCGGGACCGGCCTCGACTCGAGGTGGAGGAACTGCAGAAGAGCTATGCGGACCGGTAGCAGGGTAGAAGGGGGAGGGGTTTGGGGTTTAGGGCTAAGGGTTTCGGGTTTGGGGCTAAGGGTTTGGGGTTTAGGGCTAAGGGTTTCGGGTTTAGGGCGGCCCGTG